ACACTTAGAGACAGACTTATTATATAGCATGCGCGAAGAGTAGAAGCAAGAACAAACTACAAGATTAGCTAGAAATTGTACCAATGAGATAGAGTGAAAATGTGATACCTGTAGTTGCAACATTGCGCTAAACTCAGTTTGCAAAAATTCGAACAGTACTATCTAACATCTTGGAACACCGTATCTTCTTCCCATCTCATACTCGCAGCTTCAAATAATGCATAGAAAGCGGCATGTATTATTAAAATATGCATAAGTGTTTTACGTGTCAAGTATCCAGATATACTGGACATTCTATATTCAATTGACTAAAGAAGAAAATCAAAACGACAGACTTACAAATATTAAAGATACTATGCAGCTACACTCTATGCATAAGCGGATGCATACTATGCGCATGATAGATTCACAGACGCTAAAGTATACCGTAGATTTGTTTTACATCTGTCTTGCCATAGTAAGAATTAGAGAGGATTAAAAACCTAAATACAGGTATAGTACCATTATGAAGACGTCTGTTCTCACCCTTAAACAATAATACTTGTTGCTCTTGAATCAGCACAAATTAGGTTCTCGACAGGCAAATAATAGAAATTCGTCCAATTGCTGTAGACCGCATGTATCAAACCGTATTCAGTATATTACCCACAATAAAATTGCCCAAAAATATTCGACCGAAATTAAAATCCACTGAGTACGCATTACTGTCGGAGTTTTGAGCTTTATTTTAAACATAACTGTCGTACTAAGGTAAAGGTGATAGATATAAAGCTTGTGAAAGTATATATCTACATAAGTCCCAATTGTTGCTCTATGTAAACTACAAACTAGTTTGATGTATTGAATCTGCTAATGAGTCTAACTTTCAATACTTATCTATCTGCTGGCATTGCAGAAGGTGAGAAGACACCTTCTACGTTAACTATAGAACATGAATAAGTAATAAGTTTATATGAATACAGCAAGACATCATGATTGTGATCCGATGAGGGAGTCTGAAATATGAGCACTGATACAATCTGAAGCTCGTAGATGGATAATCGATACTCGTCAGCTACCCAATTCATATATATATTTATTGAATCCAGCACCAAACCACTTACATTTTCAGGACTTCGTACTGTTATTATCATATGATCTGATCAATTCTTTAGGTCTTATCTGCTGAGATAGATGCTAATTGTACTGCAAAAAGTCCATGTAGAACCGTCTTTGTGGTACATGACTATAAAGTAAATAGCTATCTCCACTATTAAACCGGCTATCGCCTGTTAACGAAACTTCTTTTAATAGATGCTCTAGCTCATTGCTAACTACACTGCTGTTCTTCCATCTAGACTAAAAAATGAACTGACACAGAGATTATTATCGGTAACAATTTCGTGATCATCGGAATGAAACCCAGCTATAGTATTATAATACGATCAACGGTAACTCCTTCTCTCTATATTTACATATCTTATACACTAGTTACGTATGTAACAATCCGTGCCCTCGAGTCATTACTATCGAAAAATGAACAAACTGAGATGTATAAATGATACATAGCAGCTTTCTTAAGTATATTCTGATACACATATACTCTGATTCTTCGTCCAAGTTCTGGGATTAAACTTATCAGAAAATAGTACACAAGCACCCGCAGATGTTTCTTGAAATCGGATCAGTCGATGTAGACTATGTAAGACGAGTGCTACTCGAGACGAATAAGTATACTTACTCTCTGAATTCCGGGCAGCATAGTAAGAGATCTATGGCAGTCATGTTCTACTACGGAAAAGAATGTATACAGTGCGGTATCTCAGGCATATTACTGTAGCTTTCGAGTGAAGCTCGTTCTTCTCTCACACTCCTATAGTTAACTCAGGAAGTATCCTACGATACGTTGATTGTTACAAATTATCTGAAACTTAGAATATCTATTGAACTCATTAGCATTTACTTCAAAACTCTTGCTTTAGTTACTTCTTATCCCAATTAACAAACATGACCTGAGTCTTTTTAGCTGTATACTGAACAATATAAACAACTGTATGCAACTATTATACCATACTTGTCAAAAACCCTTTTAACTACTAACATCTATATAATTGCGAAATAAGATAGTGACTGATTTATGGTCTATAACGTAATGAGGACACCAGAGCAGTTACTACAAATCGACAATAGCTAAACTACATATACACCCACTAATCAACATCTCTAGCTAACTAAGCTATCATATGCTGGGAATATGTGCACCCCATCTATGTATTGCAACAATGACAAGACAATCATATAAGCCTATTAAGTAAACGCGAGAGGTCTTTACCGCCACCACAGTGGGGAGCGAAATTATAGTAGCACGCACTTTCTGTAGCGAATAATAGCCATCGTCGATGACAGTAAACTATGCAACAGCAACAGACTTTCAGTAACTCACTCGTATATTATAAATGAGCAAAATATTCCAACTTCACTACTTGTAAATATCTAAGGATTATAAAACATTATACTCAAAATTCAAAATATGCTACATAACAGCCAATAATCTATTTCATTCCAATATCAAAATAACAATCTGTCCAAAAAGTCCAAAACAATATTTACATTCAGACAAGAAAAACTAAAATAAGAGTAAATATACTGATATATAGGAAACATATCTAAGATATGCTACTACCACATCACATCAATAAAATAAATTATAACGACGACAATGAAGCTATATACGATGACAACATGAACACACACCAAATAAGAATTAAGACTAACTGATATGAAACTAAAAGTACAAAGAGAATATGCAAATAATGAAGAGTCCGCAAAGAAATTCAGTAGTCATGCCGAAGTATCAAGTAAATCGGAAAACAAGAAATATCCATTATAATTATGAAAAACACACATCACCAATACCTACCACCATAGCACATGAAATAGATGAAGAATAACACCACAAAAGCCCTGAAACATATTATGATAGCGATGAAAGAATAAAACAACAAAGAAATTTAGAACCAAAAGATAAGGCAGAAACCAAACCTTTTACAGTTGCAAACCAAAACCGAATCAAAGTACTGCGAAAAACTTCAATAGACACAAAATGTCATAAGTAAATAAGAAACGACACCTATGAGCAAAGCAATGCAAAAAGGCGCCTAGAAGTATCATAGAAAGACTAGACATGACTGGTTAGATATGCCCCAAGCCAACGCTAACAGAAGTCAGCCCAACTCATAGAGGTCAATTAAAGTAACTAAAAAGTACACAAGCGAGAAATTGAAATAGCGTTCTAAATGAAGCTATTAAAACAGTATACTGTGGAGACATTAGATAACGTTTTACGAAGCCTTCATCACGTCAGCGTAGAGACAAAGTAGAACAAGAGATTAAACTGGAACATGAGAAAGAAACTGAAGATACGTAAAAGAAATAGTTCAAGCAGATGTTAGGGAAAGATAGTAGACACAACAATGAATCTGACCCAGAATATACAGACTAGCGAGCAACGAGAAAGAAGTATCGAAATTCATGACGAACAATATGAGCAAATGTTAGATGGATAAGTCATAGAATAAAGCAACAGTTAATCAAATGCAGACCAAAACAGCTAACCTAGATTAAGTCAATATGCCTTCTTACACAAACGAAAAGTCAGTAGACATTATGTGCAGATGAACATACAGCTGTGAATTATTTATACAGCACCACACCCTCCAAGAAAACACCTCACATGGAGCGTACCCTTAAAACAGTTACACCTCCGTCACATAGAGAAACATCAGACACAGCATCCATCCAAAACCACCCACCAAAAACTAAACAACTTTCTAGTTCAAACACCTATCCAAGCACATCAACTCTCTCAACACAACACACTCAACACACACATAAACATCACATCAAACCTCAACCAGTTCATAAATCTCCCTTGCTCACAATCAACAACCACAATAACAGAGAGAGCGGAGAGGACATATAAACACAAGTAAGAGATATGCATAAGAGACTATTAGGCGCAATTCTTAAAAATGCTTAAAGAAGATAAGTATCGCTTCTCTCAGATACTTCGACAATTAATGACAGATAAATCATATAAGGACAGTTCGTATTGGTAAAGTCAAAGATGAGAAACAAACACGTACCCGAACACTGATCTTAGCTTTCATTTGCTCCCAAATAACGATATAATCTCAACACCCTGCAAAAAATACAAAGCTCCTCTTAAAGATTCATGAACTAATATATAGCGATCATACAATAAACCTAAAATATACATTCGTAATGTATAACTTACAACCGAATTTATCTCTGATGTCACACTATTGACCTAATGAGACTTTAACAGAAAAATATCAATTAAGCTTTACGTATGAAACGCGTTAAAACATACAAATATATAATAGCCCGAAATGGCACTGAGTAACGATTCTTAAGAAAGTCCAAAAGCCTTAATATAATATTATCTTGTATACGACTAGATAGAAAAATGTATGAGTTTCGAATCATCATTCTGGCTCTCATAATACTAGGAGAAATCAAGAAAAGATAAGAAGTACAAAAAAACTCCACTAGTAATAATCAATTAAAAACAAATATAAGCCATCATGGAAAAAATATTATATCTTTCATGACACTATACAACACAGCTAGAAAGAGCCTGACGGAAAACGATTTGACAAGATCACGCATCCTGTGACCATTAACTA